AGCCTACCTCACCTGCTCATTCCAGCTTTGCACCGACGTCTCCCAGAGCACCACCAACACCAGTGATGGCAGAACCAAACATGTTGCTGCCCATGGCCCCAGCCGAGATCACTGTACCAGGTTCACCAGCCACCACTAGGTCCCGCTCACGGGCTCCTACTGTGGTCGAACCCAGCGAAGAGCCAACCATACCATCTGCAGCACCCACACCACATGCTGCATCACCACAGGCCATTGCAACAGCACCTCAAGCATCAATGTCAGGGCCTTCACTGGACCCTGACACTGCAGCATTGTATGAACCAGTCGATGCTGAAACCTTTCAACAACGACGAGTTCGCTTCAACAGACAGGAGACACTTAGTTTTGGCCCCCTGCGAAGACAGCGCATTGGGTCACCACAGCCATACAACACGACGTCACAAACAACAACACCAGAAGCAGAACACAACAGTGCAGAGCACAACACACAAGCAACAGCGGCAGCCGCAGAAGCGCCAGCCCAAGTATCGGCAGCTCCAGCTGCTTCGGATGATCCTGCTCTCTATGCAAGTCAGAAGGCACCTGATCACGCCTTGCTGAATCATGCCTTCCAAGTCTCCGGCATTGAAGCCAACTGCCTGCCAAAAGGTTGGACCTATGAGAATGGCTACTTCCAGCTCGACAAGAGAGACCGCGACTTCTGGGAAGTCAAAGCCGGATGTTTGATCAGACACCATGTGATCCCTCGACGATCCAAGATGTGCCTGCACCAATTGCCAAAAGACAGCCCCTTCACCTCAGATCAGCTTGATCTGGTTCGGGTGACCATTATGTATGACAACAACGGCAAAAGCATCCAACAGACCGACGATGGCTACACGGCTTCCACTCCCTTGGATCGCTCATGGACTGGAGTCACGATCTTCCAGATCAAAGGCGACCTTCGTCGAGAGATGGCCATGTTCGCTAAGGCCCCACTTCAAGGAGCACGACAGCTTGGCAAGGAGACCAAACTCCGGCACGCCAAAAGCTTCAAGAAAGACAAGAACAAGAACAACCTCTCGGAGCGCCACATGACTCCTGATGAGCGAGCAGCCTTCAAAGCTGCAAAGGTCAAAGAGTTGCAATCCTTCTTTGACAACCACGTCTGGCAGTTCGAGACCACCAGAGAAGCTGAGCCCAGTCGGACGCTGACCAGTCGCATGCTGCTGAAGTGGTCAAAGAATCCTGATGGCAGCCCCCGTGCCAAAGCCAGGCTCATTGTCAGAGGCTTCATGGACCCAGACGCTTGGGAAGGAACTGTTCCAACCTCATCGCCCACAACCACGAGACTGTCGAGATCCATGTTGTTGAGTTTGGCCTCCACCATGCAGTGGCCAATCTGGACTTCAGACATAGCAACCGCCTTCCTGCAGGGTCGACCTCAGACACGCAAGTTGTGGGTGCAGCTTCCTCAAGAGTGTTTGCAGTTGCTTGGAGCTACAGCTGACACCCGTATGTTGCTTCTCAAGCCCTGCTACGGCCAGATCGATGCCCCGAGATCTTGGTTCATGGCTGCAGTTGATAAGCTGAGCGCTATGGGCCTCCGACAGCATCCTCAAGACCCTTGCTGCTTCTTGATCTATGAAGGTGACCTCAACCCTGAGTATGACACCACAGCTGAGCACTCCAACCTGCTTGGACCTCATGGCCTATGTGGTATGGTCATCATGCACGTCGATGACATGCTTGGTTGCGGTTCGCCATCCTCCCAGTGCTACAACGACACCATCACCAAGCTGAAGAGCACCTTCAACTTCCGTGAATGGAAAACTGGTGATGATGGAAAGCCCTTGACCTATTGTGGTTGTGACATTCAAGTCAAGGATGATGGTCTCCTCCTCAACCAGACCAGCTACATGGGAAAGGTGAAACCGATCACCTACGACAAGAAGCGCAGCCTCACCGATGCGCTCAATCAGCGTGAGTTGACACAGCTGAGAGGACTTCTTGGTTCACTTCAATGGCCCGCAGTTCAAAGCAGTCCTCACTTGCAGAGCAGCACCTCGATCCTGAGCGGTCATGTCACCAAGGCCACGCTTCAGACAGTGGCCGACACAAATCGCCTGCTGCGTTTTGCAAAAGAAAATGCTGATGTTGGCCTACAGTACAGCCACCTGGGCGAAGTTTCAGAACTTTGTTTGGTATGTTTTTTTGATGCTGCCTTTGCCACCCGCAGTGACGGAGCCTCACAAGCTGGCTATGTGATCCTGATGGTCAACAAAGCTTTGCTTCAGGCCAATGGTCCCGAAGGAGCCTACCACGTGTTGGATTGGCGCAGTTTGAAAACGCCAAGAGTTGCACGCTCTTCCTTGGGCGCCGAAGCACAAAGCGGTGGTCAAGCTTGCGATGCCTTGGAGCATGCCAGCATCTACTGGAGCTTGTTGGTTGACCCTCGCCAGCGACTCCAAGAGCTCTTGGACGCTCCATCCTTGTTGTCGCCCACCATGATCACGGACGCCAAAGCCCTTTACGACTCCTATCACCGAGAAGGAGTCGGAAGCTCTGTGGTTGACAAGCGAGTTTCGCTTGAGATCCGTGTGATGAAGGATCGCCTGTCTTCACTGGGCGGTTCTTTGAGGTGGATGTCATCGGAGCGCCAACTGGCTGACGGTTTGACAAAAGAGTCGGCCAGAGCACTTCTTGCACAACGGCTACGTCACGGTCGTTTGAAGCTTGTTTGGGACCCCTCATACAAAGCTGCCAAGAAAAAGACAAAAGCTGAGCTCCAACAGAGTCTTGCTGAAAGCATCCATGTGGTACCACCACATGTGATCAATGAGGAACCTGAAAGCATCCATGTGGTACCACCACATGTGATCAATGAGGAACCCGAAAGCATCCATGTGGTACCACCACATGTGATCAATGAGGAACCCAACCTCCACGAGGAGCACCAGCAGCCCATCGACGAGAATCCTGCGGAGAATGACGTGAATGTCGATGAGCAGGTGTTTTGGAATGAAGAGATTTTTCGGAATTCCAAGGTTCCTGTGAATGTCATGTTTGCCAGGACCGACCGGAAGCTTGAGTATGTCTCCGACAGTCCGAGCCATGTCGGAAGCCGCCCGCTCGAGTCCTACCGCGGTCGTAAGACGAATTTCATGTTTTGGTTTTTGCTTTTGTTCATGGCCCCGCAGCTGGTCACGGCCGATTCGGCCAATGTGGAACCTGAAGCTGGAATGGATTGGTTTGGAACTGTTTTGTGCACCCTCCTTCTACTTTTTTTGAGCACAGCCTGCATGGTTGGTCGATGGAGCCATGATGCACACCACCGAGTACCACCCCAGGTCACTGAGGCTGCAGTCCAAAAGGATGAAGCGATCATCCCAGCTCGCCTTAGAGAAGAAGTCAAACGCCTGAAGCAGGAAGTCCTGCGCTGGAGTTCCAAAGCCGAGGAGTCCCGCCTTGCTGCTGTCGAAGCCACGACAGCGATGAATCTGGTTCTGAGAAACCAGAATGCTGCTGAGACCCTTGCACAGGAAGCCTCCCAGATCCTGAAGATCGCCCTGAGGCAGATGGATGAGCATGGAAATGAATGCCCCTTCTACAATGGCATGATCATCAGCCGGCATGGCGCCAGATGGCACACGACCTTGAACTGTTCAAGCCTGGCCGGAAGAGATGAAAGCCTGCAGCGGCGAGTAGATTTCTGCCGCCTTTGTAGTTTGAGGGTGATTCCACCTGACCTTGTCGATGATCGGTCAGGCTCATCTGTGCGGACCTTGGTCTACCAATGGCTGGACCGGTTCGAACAGCGGAACTGGGGTGATGACGAAGGACTCTCCCCCATGTAAAGTTCACGCTGTGCACTTGTGTTTCGGCAGTTCGAACTGTTTTCGACCTTTACTTACCATCGTTCCCTCTCAAGACTGGGAGGGCAGTTGCCTTGCAAAAGGTGCGGCCGCGGCGCTTCAGTGCGCCCTCTTGTTTTCGTGTTTGCGGACTTCGGGTGCCGCTGCTACCTTTTTCGCACAAGTAATTAAGCAGATCTGCTGAGCTACCAGATCTACAACATTGGACAAATGGCATGCGTTTGCAACTCTAAAGGCAAAGCCCAGGGCGCTGGAATTCATGAGCCCAGCGCCGGAACTGATCCGGTCTTTCGATTCATGTCCGACGGTTTCGAAATGTTTCGAACCTTTGATGTCGATCACCATCTTGTCTACCGGACCTTGGGGAGAGTTTCATTTGAGGGACTACCTGGACCCGACTTCAAGTACCTTACCCCATAAAAACAGGTACTTGTACCATCTTGTACCCATTTTCCGAGGTACTTTGAGACTCCAGGTATGAAGAGCAAAGCAGGCTTCCCCTCCTCCTCGCCTACTCGTCCACCAACCGTTTCACCGTCGGAGTGTCGTTCACGGCGGTGTCGTGGCCGCGCGGTGCGGGCGGTGTCGTTCGTGGCTTCGTACGGTGGGACGTGCAACAACTTCGATTTCGAGGCACTTGTTGGTGATTTGGGTGGAAAGAAGATCAGTTAAATCACACAAATCTGGACCTGTAGCTATGACATGCTATGACTAGCTTACCAGATCTTACCTAAATCTCGACCCTGCTTGCTGTTGTCCTCTCAGCTACCTTTAACCAGGTTTTCTGGTCAATTCGACAGCCCACAGCGTGGAAGGTATATGAACCTGCACCCTCTGATTTCTGGCATATCATGGCATGCTCTCCAACATGTTCTACATGGTCTGGGATGTCTTCCAAACAGAAGGCAGAAACTGTCTCCTGCCCAGGTTCCGTAACGGGTCTTTAGGGCGTCCCCTTGCCTTAGAAAAAAAAATAACAGATATTTGAACAGCTTCCCAAAAGAGCCAAAAAACCGTGTCATTCTCACAAGCAAAAGATATGCATAAAGGCTGGAATTATAGATCCTATAGCAACTGTCAACAAACCCCATCATGAGTTCTTTTTCAGACTCCACAAACCCTCTCCAACCCCTTTAGGCGGAGGAGAGATCAAACGGCATCGTCCTGGGCGGGGATATGCCACGCCGCCAGGGTGCAGCCGTCGAGCGCCTCGATCCGCACGTCCTGGCGGGCGCGGACCAAAACGTGGGGACTCCCATCGTTTAGGGGCTCATGGTGCCATGGAGTGCGATGGGGTGCCATGGCATGTCCTGGTTCCTTTTCGGAAACTTGAAGAAGTACCACCCCAGCTGGGCCCTTAGTGTTTTTATCAACCCATGCTGATACCACCCCAGCTGGGCCCGACCAGAGGATCCGGTTTCGTGCGTCCAGCCGGCCCTGCGTCGACGTCGCCCGTCGTTTGGGTCGTCCTCGTAGGCCATGCCATAGGCCGCCGGCGTGCGGACCATGGTATCACAGAGTTTGGAGATCCAAGAGGCGTCCATGATGACGTAGGCCTTGTGGTTTCGAAGCACCCCCCCAATTGGAGCCTAAGCTGGAACCAAGGGGGAACTCGTTGTTTTCGTGTTTTCCGTTGGGAAAAGGAGTCGATTCATAGTCGACCAGCTGCCTGCTTCTTCAGCAAAAGGTGCAAATGTCAACTGAGAACTGACATGGAATCAATAGACACAAAATGACACACATTCCCAGAGTCTTTTTACCGTTCTAATCTGAGTTTTCTTAATTGAAATGTGGTGTGGCTTGGATTCCTCCAACTCGCGGCGAATCCAGAATCAACCCATATCAGTGAGCCTATGGCATGAATCAGTGCCTGCCAAAGGCAGGAACAAGCAACACCTACCAAGGCAGGAACCGCCCAAAACTTCGGGCGCACGGGCGAACCACTGAGCTTCAACCCTTGGCGAGAGGCAGAGAACTTGTAGAGCCCCAAATATCCGGCCAGCCTGAGTGCGATCCAGGTCATGTCAATCACCCTCTTTCACCTGGTTACCGCAAGATCCACGATCAGATCGATACAAAAAATACATCCACCGCATCTGCTGCTTTTCTACGGATCCTGGGTTTGAAATGCAACGGAACTAGAGAGTGGCCACCTCTGATGAAATCCATAAGGGAAACTCCAATGCCTCCGGCAGTTGTGAGACACGAATCTTCTGACTGAGGGTCTAAGGTGCCTACATCTGCCGCCACCGCTTGCCTCTTGCTGGACCCTCCACTCATCACAACAGCATCCTAATTTTTGAGGAAGTGGCCATATGAGTAATCGACCAAATCTATGGCAAAAGGGATGCTCCTGGTCGCCCCCCCCCCTGTTCAAGCCCCTTTTTACAGAGGCTCAAGCTAGGAACCAGCAGTTCGGCCGGCCGCCACCATAGATGTTGTCCAATTCACATGTTGCAAAGAATCCCTCCAAATGAAGCCTGGTGCTCCGAGCCACTTCTGCACCGCATTGGGCTCCAACTTTTCTGGGTTAGCCTGGCCCGGGTGTTCATCTTGGCAAAGATGGGAATCGGGACTCTGAGATACCAAGGTTTTCTGTTCTTGAGATCAATGAATGCTCCAATCCTTCCAAGCTTGCTGACCTGTATGATACAATCATCTTCAAAACTGATTCCTGTCAACCACGGAATCTTTGGGGGTGGTGGGTACTCCATGATCAACCACTCGGAATGGTCGTCTTCCCAACCTGCCAACTGAGCAAGAAACCAGTCCCCTCTGTGTCACGTCAAGCGGTGGTCAGTGGTGTTGAACCGAAATGGCTCTGGCGCCTGCAGGCCCTCTCCGCAGCAAGTTAGCACGCAGAGAACCACAAGGAGAACCCCAACCACTCCCGACAAAAGAAAGGGAACAACAAAACTTTGTGCAACGCAGAGCGCGCAGTCATCCAGGCCTTCTGTGGGAAGCAGCTCTTAAAAACCCCTTCAAAGCAGCAGGGGGGAGCCATGGGTCGAAAAAGGCGAGGTGATGGGGCACTACCAAGCTGAAAAAGGCGCAGCTGGCTCTTCGGCCGCGCGGGTCCACGTGCAGACAGCTGGCATTGCATGCTTAGCTGAAACACGGTATGCTTCAGATGTGTCAAGATGCAAAGCTACCGGATGTTCTGAATTTGGATGTGTGTGGTGATATCACTTATAATAGATGAAATTTTAAAAAATATGATATATCGGCGGAGATATGTATGGATTTGATTGGATTTGTATGGATTTATGGGGTTCCGAGCCTTTCGTATAGGACAACACCATCAGTGGACAGCTGGAATGAATTGGGAACTTGTGAGAACTCATAGTAGGACGATGGGACGTAGCGAAGCATCAGTCTGTTCAGCACACGAATTCACCAGGAATGCCCATCTGATGTTCATGAATCCTGCGTCTTTCATTCGTGCATGTGCGAAGAGAAATCACAACACCGAGGTCACTCCTCGTAGATCAATGTGAGGCTTGGTAACGCCGACCTGAAGTACCTTTGAACATCTTTGAACATGGGACATGGTCTTAAACAGGTACTTGTACCCATTTTCCGAGACTTGTATCTGTATCATTCTGTATCTGATCTCCCGATTCCTCAACTCACTAAGCCAGCCATGATCAAGCGCATAGGGAAGTCCTGAGGTCACATTTATGGCAACCACCCCGACCAGACGACCTTCCCCCTCCTACTCTAGGGCCTTGTTCCTGCCACACGAGTGCCACATGCGTGGCAGGGGCAGTATAGCAGGGGGATGGTTTGGATGAAACCCCTCCATCATCATGACGCATCACGACCGCCACTGAAAGGCTAGTTCCCACTGAGGTCACCCACCGGTCTTCAGACCGATCGCAGATCGCCTGGTGGGACAAAAATCCAGCAAGTCATTCAAATGAGTCAGCTGGACACGGGTCTTTGGGTTCCAAGTGCAAATCAATCAGCCCATGTTTGGTGGAAGAACCAACCAACCCCATCTAACGCCGGTGAAAGGACCGAAGCACCAAACTCGCGTGGCACATCGCTCGATGAATTGGTTGCAAACGCTCAGATCTCACCACCCACACCGGGTCCGACCCCCTCAGAGGAGTCCGCGCTCCCACCCACCCCACGCGGTCCCGGTCGGTTCCCCCCGCCACGACCTCCATCTGCACCCGACGGCGCCAGACGGTCCGTCCCGCGACGCGCGGAGGGGTTCAAGCTGAGCCAATGGCTGGGGCGGAACGGTGCGGACTGGCATGTGCGGATCTGCCCCTCAGTGCGCGGACCGCGCGGAACATGGGTAGAACATGGGTACCTTCTCAGAAGGCACTTGGACCCTCCAAACCCACCCCAAACACCTTCTGAGAAGGTACTTGGATCCCTAGGGCCTGTATGGGGTCAGAGCCCATGTTCCAAGGTACTTGAAGTCGGGTTCCAGGTGCTTTGAAGAAGTCGAGTGCTTTGTTCCAGGTGCTCGGAAAGCAGCCTCAGGGTTGCTGAATTGGGATTGACAGGCATTCTGACACTCCCAGCAAGTTCTCTTCATGGATCCCCTCAAAAAGACTTTGGCGACACGTGGCATCCGCGGGGTTGTGATCTTGTGAGCCACTGGATCTATAACCCACGGGAGCAACATATGATTGTTCGTAATCAGTTGCACAATGAACAAACTCCCTGGAATCGCCTGGAAGTGGAAAAGCACCACCGCGGTTAGAGGATTTCATGATCAAACGACATCGGAGACATTTTCCCATCCCATCCCATCCACCATACATTCCACCGGTGATTTCCAGAGAGTGTATATTACAATCCCCCAAAAAAGAATCCGGAATCGACCACAAAAAACAGGCCGATTCGACGTCGATTCGACATGTTTCAACAAGAGCCCCGTTTCTACCCTGGAAGACTCTGTCCTCTACAAACAGGGTCCTTTCCACTTCCATGTTAGGGAGTAGGTTTCCACTTCCAGAGAGTCGAAGTGTACCTACTTGGCACCACTTCGTCACACGTCGAAGGCCACGTGATTCGCTTCCCGAAGCCGCATGAGCCGAATCACGAGCCGAAAGAGCAAGAAGACGTCTGAACATGTCTGAACATCAAAGCTCTCTGGTTTAACGGAAACGTGAATCAACCAACAGTTGTCTGAGCTTTCAAAGAGTTTAACGGAAAGGACCGCCTTCCACTCTCCAGCCGTCGAATCGTCCATCCCAGCCCACCCCGTCCCATGGAATGAGACCCAGGAGACAACGGCCTCATGTTCAAAGGAAGGATGACCATCGAAGCACATGGTTTTCTGAAAAAATGCTCGAAGACTCGAAGTATCTCGAAGTCGAAAGCCTGAGATGTTCAGATGATTCACCATTTGTTGGGGGATGTTGGGGGTCGTACTCCTTGGTGATCTGTCCAAAAAGGGTCGTACTCCTTGGATCATGAAAATGTGATTCCATGGCGGAGGGAACTAGGGACACTCACTACCAATGGTTTAACGGTCTGCATGGAGAACAGAACCACAGATGTGCTGAGAAAAACACCTGAGGGCCTTGATCACGAAAAAGAGCTTCACCAGCTCACTAGGTCCTCTAGATTTTGCATATGATACTCAAGTCTTTGATGCTCAATCATTCTCAGAGGGTCAAACAGGACTTCAGATGATCTAATCGAGACCGCCCACGGGTCTCGCTTTGACCGGTGGATACCGGTTCTTCGTGTTGGATGACTTGTTCAGCTTTTCGCATCCCGCGCCCTGGAGCCAATGCGGAATGAGCCGACCGCAGTGAATGGTCATTCATGGGCTTTTTCCAAATCTACTAGGTAGCGATCATTTGTTCAAAGGCAGCTTGAGCAGCTTGAACAGGATTGGAATCCAGGATCACTTCTGTATTCATGGCGGAACCCAAGCATTTCGCTCAACTCTCCTGAAGAAAGGCATTATGCAACATGGGAAACACACTGCTAAGACTAAGGACGAATGGATGAGTCCACGCGATGGTGGGTCCGTCGGCGGACCGCGCCGGAATGGAGGGTGCAAAAGATTGTGCGATGGAATCTGATGATGCACTGATGGGTGTCCTGACTGGCTGCAAAACATCAATTCGGGTGATTGCATTTGTTTTGGGATTCCTGCATGAGTCCTGCAGCTGCAGTTCTTGCTAAGTACGTACTCCCGGCCCTACAGGCTAGCTCAGTCCCTTGAGGTCGTCGTCAATTCAGGATGCCATGGGTGGAATATACCCAAATGCTGCGTGAAGGCCGCCCGAGCCCGGTTTTCACCGATGGGGATGGGTTTGGAACCGTCGACCGGGCCCAACCCGTCCGGCCCCATAGACGGGGGTCGCGTTAACACAGGCGCCCCGGCACTCCAC